AAAAACTTTCAGCCTTTAAAAATTATCCCTTAACTTTAGAAAACCATAGATCCTTGTGAAACAACCACATTTAAGAAACAACATCATTTAAAAGTTATTAAGCAATTCCCCAAAATATTTCTCATTCAGTTTCCATTTTTAATATTCCTCTTCTTTTTCTTTTTTTCTTTTTTTTTTTATTTTATTCTTCCTTTCTACTCATTATATTTATCTAGAACTCCATAACTTCAAGTTCAAGTTCAAGTTCAAGATCCCTTTTTGATTCACTAACAATTCTCCTATACTCAATTCAAACCATTGTTTACACTCTCAAATTTCATTTCAAGACAACACAAGATTAATAAACCCCTTTAAATTCAATCTATTATTTATTTACAGAACAATACTCATAATTTACCTTTATTGTCGCAACTAATTCATTAAGTTCACCATCACCAATCCATAATCAAATTACCACTTCAATTTCCATTGTTTCAATTAATTTCATATCAAATACCAGATCCAATCACAAGTCATCTCCATGAATCACACACTTTACCGGTCACAGGCTGGAAGGAATGCGGAACCTCACGCTTTACCGGTCACAAGCCGAAAGGAACGCGAAACTTCACGCTTTACAGGTCACAACCCGGAAGGAACGCAGAACCTGACGCTTTACCGGGCACTACTCCGGAAGGAAGGCAAAACCTGTTTCAAGCGCCACGCTTTGCCGGCTCAACATACGGTGGAAAATGGACCCCAAAATAGCATCACAATCCATCATTACGATTTGTGGGCTATGCTAACACATCTTTCATTATTTCCATACACATTAGTTCAATACACATCCACAAGTTATTAAAATACGATTTACATAACAAGTACAAATATGTTCCACGACCTTCTTCATTATCCATTAAATCATTCTTTGTTTTGTCACAAAAAAATATAACAACACATCCATAGAGGCAAAGATTCATCTTTAAAGTGTTCACAATTCTTGGGTTCAAACTATTTCTTACTTTTCGATATTATTATCAAGTCTTCAAATTCAATTTTTATAACCCGTTGATTATCAATTACTACCCAAGGTTATAAATTAAATCTCCAACATTTAATTTCTTTGATACAACTCCCTCATGTAACACCGTCATATTTGACAATCTCTCATTTAACATTATTCACACGCGTGTCACTATGGACTTCGTTGTAGGTCTTCCGAGGACTTAGCGGGGTAGTGATGCTATTTGGGTGGTTGTAGACCGGTTGACTAAGTCGGCGCACTTCATTCCTTTGCGCGTGAGAGATTCGGTAGACCATCTCGCCGACTTGTATATTCAGGACATAGTGAGATTGCACGGGGTCCCAATGACGATCGTCTCAGATAGAGATCCTCGTTTTACTGCTAGGTTATGGCAAAGTTTGCAGAGTGCCTTGGGCACTAAGTTAACATTTAGTACGGCCTATCATCCTTAGACTGATGGGCAGTCCGAGCGTACTATGCAGATCCTTGAGGATATGCTTCGAGGATGTGTCCTGCACTTCAGTGGGACGTGGGAGAGGCACTTGCCATTGGTAGAGTTTGCCCACAACAACAGTTTTCAGTCTAGCATCGGTATGGCACCGTTCGAGGCCTTGTATGGCCGACCGTGTAGGTCTCCAGTGTGTTGGGCCGAGGTGGGTGATGCACCTTTGTTGGGTCCAGAGTTGGTTAGGGAGACGACGGAGAAAGTTGAGCTTATCCGTAGGAGGCTTGTTACAGCCCAGAGTCGCCAAAAGAGTTATGCCAACCGTAGGAGGAGGCCTTTGGCGTTTGAGGTAGGTGATCATGTCTTCTTGAAAATATCACCTAGGCGAGGTTTGATGAGGTTCGGGAAGAGTGGGAAGTTATCCCCTCGGTTTATTGGTCCCTTTGAGATCCTCGAGAGGATTGGGAAAGTTGCTTATCGTTTAGCTTTGCCACCATAGTTGTCCGGGGCTCATGACGTCTTTCATGTTAGTATGCTTCGGAAGTATGAGCCGGATCCATCCCATGTGTTAGATTGGACCGACTTGGAGGTAGATGAGGATGCCTCGTATGAGGAGAGACCGGTGTAGGTCTTGGATAGGCGGGATCAAGTCTTGCGAGGCAAGACCATTCCCTTGGTAAAGGTTTTGTGGAAACATCACGGAGTGGAAGAAGCCACTTGGGAACGTGAGTTGGAAGTCCGTGAGAAATATCCGGACTTGTTTAAGCATCACGGAGTGGAGGAAGCCACTTGGGAACGTGAGTTGGAAGTCCGTGAGAAGTATCCGGACATGTTTGTTGATGTGTAATTTTATAATGAAATTCTGTAATATTGTTGAACTTTAAGAGCATTGTATATGTCTTAAGTTGTAAAACATTGTGAATGTTTTGGTTAATGGAAATTTGTATAACATTGCATATGTTCAATGTATCGTAGGGATGCAAGCATGATGATAATGTTGCATGTATGATTGAATTGTGGAAAATGAGTTGAAATTGGTAAATTTCAAAGAAATGCATGTTGATAATGCAAGTTGTTTTAAATAATGTGTCTTGCCTCTTGAAAAGAGATGGGATTGACCGGTAATGGGTCGGGTTGTTTAATATTCTATTGTAATATTGTTGAGAATTGAGAAAATCTTGTTTTTGAAAAAAAAACTTGTGTTTAATTTCGAGGACGAAATTCTTTAAGGGGGGGAGGTTATAGCGATCCCGGTTGTCCCTTTGTTGTTCTGTTGTATTCCGGACTCGGTTCCGTGAGGCTGGTAGTTGTATCTATCTTGTGTCGTCCCTTAATTCCGCTTGATTGAGTTTTAGGATGTTTTGGGCAGGGTTGTTACAGGTTGGTTAGGCCTTGGTTTCAATTCCTTGTTGCCCAGTTTTTAGGCGTTCCACTCGAGCGGGTCTTCTTGCGCTCGAGCGGGGATTGCACAACCCTAGTATTTTCGTGTCCCTGTAAAACTTCTGCATGTGTGATTTTTACGCTCGAGCGGTGGCGCTCGAGCGGGTACTTTGGCGCTCGAGCGGGTAGTACCTTTGGGTGTAAGTTCTGGGAGCAGGGAATCTACGCTCGAGCGGACTGGGTTTCGCGCTCGAACAGATTTATTTTATTCTTGTGTCTTGGCGCTCGAGCGGGTCCTTTTGCGCTCGAGCGGACCTAGTTTTTGTTCTTGACACTCAAGCGTTGTGTTTTCTGCTCGAGCGGGA